TGTGTGTGTGTGTGTGTGTGTGTGTGTGTGTGTGTGTGTGTGTGTGTTGATGAGAAATAATATTTCTAAGAATCTGGTTGGTGTGTGTATTTCATTCATTGCATTTGCATTTATGTGCATATTTCTGTACTTGCATGTGACAGTATAAACGCTTTAGACCTCGATGGATCTTTCCACTTCATGGGTGTTTGTCTCACAGCTGCTTTAGGAAGCTCTTCAAAGAGTTGGCATGTAATGTGGCTCCATCATGCATGTATGCATGTTTGTGTGTCTCGCCCATGTTTGACTACTGGGTATACGAGGTTGTCTCACTGTGTGCCAGGGCTCTGTGCTAAACATTAGTCCTTAGCCTCCACATCAGTGTTCCCTCTCACTCTCTCTGCCCTCCGTCTCACTCTCGCTGCCTCTCATTGGGAGATAAAGAGGCGAGCCATTTCATGTGGCCGTATAGAAGTCGTCTCCAGGCCCGGAGTTTGCAGGGAAGCTGTCACAGCAGCTTTTAGCCTGAGCTGCAACATGAAAGATCCCTCTGTGAGCAGTTGGGTTATGTGTGTAATTCTCTCTGACGTGTTTATTCTGCTGCAGTTTCAACTTTCATTTTCAAATGTCACATACATTTCCCTCCTCCAAGAATATCCCTACTAATTACTGACTGATGGGACAGGGTGTATTAGAGAACTTAGCAGGATGCGTCCAAATACTGTTTCACTTTTACAGTGCGTCTCGGCTTGAGAAGACATGAGACAGAGGACATTTCTGGGTTGAGACTTGAGTGATCTTCAGAATTAAACTTGAGAGAGGACTTACTGAGAAAGAGCCAGAGGGAAAGCCTTGTGGTGTGTGTGTGTGTTTGTGTGCATGCATGAGTGTGTATTGTTTGTGAAGATAATGCTTATCTATAACCAACCAAGCTCTGTTCTAAACACGTAGGTACAGAATTGTACTTGCATCATTTCCTTATTCTCAACTTTGACAGCCTGGCTGAACCCATATACACACACCATGTTCATAACCATGTTCATAACCGCGTCTTTTACACTAAACTAAATATGAGCTGTGGTTTCCCTGGTGATTCCAATCCAGACAGGAGCTGGTGTAATTTTCATGTTCTCCACTGTGAGTCTTTCCATCTGTAGCATTCTCATGGTCCCATATCGCCAGAGGTTCTGTACACACCGGGTAGAGAAATAAATAAATAAATATATGTATATAAATATATGTACAGTAAGGGGCTATGCTGTTCCCATGGTAATATGACCCAGTCATCATGGGCTGCAGGGAGAGGGGAGCGGCCGCGTGTGTTTTTTTTTTTTTTTTTTCCTGTTGACACTCGGTCCTGCTGTCTCTTTTTCTGCGTGTGTATAGACGTATGCGTCTCAAAGAGGACAGAGCGGTTTGGTCGGTGTCCGCTGTTTGCACTCTCTTTAAGTCTGGACAGGACTCGTCCTAATGTCCGAGTCAGTAATCGGGCTCTTTAGATTTTGTCTCCTCCTGCAGGCCGATGCCGTCTCGTTGTCTCACGAGTCACCCGCTGAACTCGTATCTCTTTCTGTGTGTTCTCCGTCCACAGCAACAAGGGGCGGCCACCACGGTGTACTGTGCCGTAGCTCCGGAGCTGGAGGGGTTAGGCGGCATGTACTTCAACAACTGCTTCCGCTGCCTGCCGTCCACCCAGGCCCAGGACCAGAGCAGCGCCGCCAGCCTGTGGGAGCTCAGCGAGCGCCTGGTGGCAGAGAGGTCAGCGGGCATACAGGCCCTCTGATGGAAACAAGGCGGGGAGGAGGTGGACTAGCCAAACAAAGGACTCAAAGATGGTGGGTCACGGTGATTTCCAGTTTGGTATGAACTGAATAAAAGGTAACTGTACTCTGACTGCATAATACAAGGGAGCTGCCAAGTCCTTCTGGATCTGTAACGTCACTACGGGGGCTAAAACACACCACACATACAGCACAGGGGGGGTTTTCATATACACTCTACTGAATAAATTAAAGTTTAGGTTGTGTTCAGCTCTGCTGTGGTTGTTTACAATGGGAGGTGGGGGACGAAGAAGATTTGGGACGAAATCAGGGACGAATTCAGGGATCTCTTAAAGTTTGTTCTTTCTTTCTCTGTTTGTTTCTGTAGCTTTTCATAACTCTCTCAAGTCTTCTCTATTTAAATGAGCAAATGACCTGTCTTGCGAACAGTACAGGGTTACCTAATAAGCATATACTCAATGGCATATGCATCTGTTTCCAGCAATAGTGCACTACATGGCAAATATGATGTCATCCCAATTAAATTCAGTGTCCCTTGTCGAGTTCTACGTAGATGTTTTCTATGGAGATACAGAGAGCGTTGGTTCATCTTTGTGCTAAATCTTTTTGGGCATAGAAGAAATAAGGAGTAATGGGCATGTGACACTCATGGATATATAAACACACACTAGGTATGATTCTCATTGCTATATACATTATTCTGCAATAATTTAGTTTATTATCAATGTCCCTATTTGTTTTCTGTACAGTATTTACAATATCCTGATTTCTGGGCATGTGCTAAAGGGGTGTGAACGTCATATTTTTTTCTGCTTGCTATTTGACTCAAGCTACGTATTAATAATCTATACTCTGGTAAGTCTAAAGTACAATTTGGAGGTATTCGTGGGAAGATCCGTGTCCATTTGAATGACAAATACAGATGGTGGTGAATCTTATTTCTAGAGTCCTTTAATTTCTGTGTTTCTTCCCTTGTTGTTGGAGTAGAAGAATGTGATTTCAGTCTCCTGTTGTTATTTAATCATCATTGTTTTAATATTGAACTCTGGCTTTGGGTTGGCTGTGGATTGGTTGCCCTGACGCCGCTGTGTAGACGCTTTTGAGACATTGTGCTTTATGGCAGTCTGGGTGCCGTAGGTTGCTCTTGAAACATCAGCATTCCAGTGTCATGATATCTGTAAGAGAAAAACAAATGAGAAAGAACATTTAATACAAATCTGTTTTACAATAACGTGTGTGAAATCATTTTAGACACAAAGTGGAAGCCCATTCATTTGGAGGCCATTAGGGGGAGGTATTTATATATTTGTGTAGCGAGCGAACGCTGAAGTCTGACTAAGTAGGGCAGTTCCTGAGAAGAAAAATGTATTGTATGTGAACTAAGAAAGCATCAACATTACACAGTGTGTTTGATGGTACATTTAATAAAAAAACTAAACATTTTCTCTATGCTTTGCTCATATGCTTTATGTCCGACCCCTGTGCTAAGGACAAGACAACCAGCCGATCCCACAGATGCAGAGTTTCACTCCTCCAATCAGAAAAGCAGCAGAATAACTCTGATCCTCCTTTAGGCACAAACACACACACACACACACACACACACACACACACACACACACACA